TCAATTTAGATTCCTATTGGTACTGTCTGGGTGCTAGATTAAAAGCGTCGTTCGAAGAAAAAAGCCAAGTTCCACTATAAGAACTAACGATCCATAGAGAAGATGAACTAGAGTTCATGTTTCCTGACCTCGGAATATGAAGAGATGGTGTATCAGTACTAAATTCAGCAGAATATTTACTTTCCCCAACATAAGTCAGGTACCCATCAGAGCTGGGTGGACTCATGGGTCGCCCTGCAGTCACGAAGCCAAATCGAGATCCGAACTCTTCTACCTTCGAGCTAGCAGCCGAACGCGGTATCATTCGACCACACCGCTCCATTACATCGTCACTTGCGCACGTTTTTTTTTTTTTTCCCACCGCAACACAGATTTTTTTCTGTTGTGCGGGGGTGGTCTTATTTTTCCGGATTATAGAAATTTTCCTTTAGAATTTTTTTTTTCTAAATTGTAAACTGCAAGACATAATTCCAGGGGGTGGTTTAACTTGATTTTTTAAAATTATTATGGGGGGGGGGGGGGGTTGTAAATTGTAAACGGAAGTAGAACACGTTCATATTTTTGTGGGTGTGGGCGGCATCTTTGTTATTTTCCAGAACTAGTTGACCTGTTCACCCAAGCGTGGGTACATGAGCAGACATAAAGGAAAGAAAAAATAACCACCCCCAATTTTTCCTACATTTGCTTGAATAAATGGTAGAGTTAGAAGTAATCAGTTGAGATATTTCTACTTTACAAGTTTCGCCAGTGCATTCGTCGTTTTTTTTTCGTCAAGTTTCTTCGTGGATGGCTCTTGTAGAACTTCCTTATGGGCCGGAGGGGGGGGGAGCTTTTAAAGTAAATATTTTCCATATTAATTATGTAATTTTTCTATTTTATCATGGTGGGGGAGGCTGCGTTGGACGAGCTTTTGGAGGCAATCACCCCTTCCCATCTGGGGAGAGATGCCTGAAAGAAACACCGAGTCCAATGCCTAGTAGCTAAGTTTGCACCCATAGCGGCCTACATTCATATCGAATTATTTAAGACTATTACTTTATACATATGTTGTAAAAAGATTATTTTTTTTAAATTTCCTCACATTTTGTATATTTTTTAAACCTCGGGTTGTTTTTTTTTTGTTTTTTTTTTTTTTGTTTTTTTTTTTTTTTTTTGTAATTTTTAAACTAGTGATGAAAAGTCCTTTTTTTTTTACCCATTCTGAACCATGTGAAGTGAAATGGTTGCAACAATATTTGTATTTCTAGGTTGATCAAGTGAATGGATTTTTTTTCCGCTATTTTCGGGAAATGAGGAGGGGGATCATTTGAAACTTCCGTCGGGGGGCACTTCAAATTTCCGGGGAGAGGGCGGGACACTTCTTGAATTATAAATTTTCTATATTCATTTTATACATATGTGTATGTGTGTGTATTTGTGTGTGTGTGTTTATTTTCTATTTCGTCCGTGGAGGGGTGGTGGACACAATCCCGGGGAGGGGGGGGGGGGCTTTCCAAAGAGATGCATGAAAGTAACTCTGTACCTGAAGCGGTTGCAAAATTTCTGTCCCTATCCTGATCCCGTCAAGTGGCTACAACAATATTTATATTTACCGCCCTACTTTATACCACAAGAGGTCAAAGGGCACCCGCGTTGTTTGTCTCAAGTCGGAAGCCGCCCACCGCTGACCTTGACCCAGGCCTCCCACAGGTGACCTTGACCCACGTCACTAACATAGTTGCCCTATATCTCACCGTTAATGACACCCCGAAGTGTTTTTTTTATTGCGATTTGACACACGATTTACGGAGGAGGGGAAAAAAGAATGAACGTTTTTTTTTAAGGAATTTGAAAATAGTTATATTGTTTCTAAAACTAAAAATATTTTTTTCTTGTATTCTTTAGACATCGATAAGAAAAATTTAAAGTAGCCCTTTGACGATCTAAGAGGTAGGTGAAGTAGAGTGTATCTCTTCTTCGGCCTAGGCCTTTAAAGGGTCAACACTAACCGCGGGTTGTTTACTTTTTTCTTTAATTAGGAGCAGTGGCGGAACTAGAAAAAATGGGCCACCCCGCAAAAAATTTTTTTGGGCCCCATATATATATATATATATATATATATATATATATATATATATATATATATATATATATATATATATATATATATATATATATATATATTTATATATATATATATATATATATATATATATATATATTAAAAAATGGGATCCTATATACGAAAATACGAAATACGTACATAGAATACTCAATACGGGCTTGACCGAAATTCGAAAAATAGTTAAAATTCTTAGTTTTTATTTTAAATTAAAATATGTTAAACATCACATAATTTGTGTGTGTGCTATTGGCGTGCTTTGAAATTCTCTGTTTTAATGTCTGACATAGTGCTTTCTAAATTACAAGTCGGTCAAAAGAATATGAAGCAGAAAAGCTTTGTATGTGTAATGGTTTCTCGCCTTATGATTATTTTTATGTTTTTAGTATTTATATTATTAGTTTTTAATACATTTCCTTTTTAATTTGTTTAGTGCAAATCTATTAAAAATTTCTTAAGAGCACACATATTTAACTATTTAAAAAAGGGAAATAAGTCATGGGAGTGGTTAGAACGTTTGCCTATCTTTCACACTACAAGTCATGTAGCCTACTTTTTTTTCCTTTACGAAATAGCATATGTTAGCTACTGTAGAACATCACTACTGTATTAGATCTGTTTTGTTTTTACTAGAAAATTATTTTTTACTATAAAAAATTGATTATGGTCTCTGGGCCCCTAAACGGCCTGCCCCCCCCCCCCGCATTGCGGGGTCTGGCGGCACTGTAGTTCCGCCCCTGATTAGGAGGGGTGGACTCGGGGCGTCTTGCGGACATTAGTACGGGATCCGAACTCGAGACGTTCTGTTTAGCAGTTGTGCGCTCTAATATGTTTATACTACGACATGTATACAATACACGTCAAGAAAAAAAAAATTCCATATGTTAATTTTATTCCAACATGTAGGCATATAGTTAATTATTACAAAGCTGTTGTTTTTTTCCAGACATGTAGAGTATACATGTTGCAAGTGTTAACACGGGTTAACAAACAGTGGCGTCGCTAGGTCGGGTGTTAAGTGCGGCACTTGTTTGTCCCCCCCCCCCAAAGAAACAAAGTATATATATATATATATATATATATATATATATATATATATATATATATATATATATATATATATATATATATATATATATATATATGTGTGTGTGTGTGTCGGCCTACATAGGCCTATAATTTAACTATATGACACATACGCGTAAATGTATGTTTATAAGCTTTAATCGCTGCAGACTTCATATAGTAACAAGGTTTTTTCTATAGTCTGTTAATAATGCAGTTTTATGTAGCGTTGTTTTCTCTAAAGTTAGCACGTTTACGTCAAGGTGTCACCCTCACCCTCTTGTAATAATTGTCGACTTGTACTTATTTAATTTTAATTAATCATTAATGGAACTGGCAAAAAAAAAGCATTTTTCTTTTCTATATTTTACAATTTTTTTGCCTTGGTGTCACCCCCTTAAATGGTGCCACCCAATACGGCCCGCACCCCCCCGCCCCGCCCTCGCTACGCCTCTGGTAACAAAGTGCCACATAAGTACACTATATACGGTGGGGGGGGAGAGAGAGAGAGAAAGCGGGGTATGAACAACTTTGTAGATTCTGACTGAAGTGTTTAAAAAAAAAAAAGTCTAAACTTATGAAAGAAGTTTTAAATCTGAAGTATAAAAGCACATGACTTAAAAGCACATGACTTGTCATATGTGGGAAGATTTTGAATGATCTTGGGAGAAGGTCAGACGTCGGAAGTGACGTCACGAGGCCACTACGAAGCGTAACGGTAGACCTCGTTGACAACTTGACGAAGCTTGAAAAGTGGGCCAGGGTTCGTTCGGTTGTGACTTGGGTAGTCAGGGGCTGTGTGTGGGAGGGTTGTGTGTGTGTGTGGGGGGGGGGGTGAAGGGGGTCTTTTTACTTTAGGTCATTATTTTCAACATTTGTGGGGTGCCTTGGCAATTCACTTTTTTTTAAAAAATGTAATTTGTTATTTACCTTTTAGCGTTGACAACAAGGTTTCCTTTTTTCCGAGGAGTACATTCGGTAACTTTCCGGGATTTTTATTAAATATTCCCCAACAAAACCCTGAATAAACCAGCTCTACTAGTGATTTTAAGGGCTGTTTTAAGGTCATTGTTTTTTTTTTCAGTTAGCATGTTCACCCCCGACACACACACACAACAGGAGTATTTACCATTTACCCCCCCCCCCCCCACACACACACACCAGAACATGTTCATCCCCCCCTCCACACACACACATACACCGGAGCATGTTCATCTCGACACACACAACAGGAGCATTTACCATTTCCCCCCCCCCCCTCCACACACACACACATACACCGGAGCATGTTCATCCCCCCCACCACACACACACTCCAGATCATGTTCATCCCCCCCCCCTCACACACACGGATCATGTTTCCCCCTCCTTCCCCCCCCCCCCCACACACACTGGAGCATTTATCAGCCGCTAAACACAGAGGCGTAGCTGAGACAGGGTAGGTAGAGCAGCCTCTGAAGGCGTCGACCCTAGTGGGGCGCCAAACGGGGTAGAACTAAATAAAAAGCCCTTTTTGAGCTGCATTACTCCGATCCCACCCCTTGAAATTTTAAGAGCGATCCCCCACCCCTACTCAGTTTTAAGTTCCGACCCCACCCCCCTCGTCTCGGAGAGAAAAATGTCTGAAAGAATGCCCAGACTCACTCTTCACATATCTATTTCTCCCGTTCTTATATATCTTATTGCTACCCCCCCCCCCCTCCCACCATCACGCACGTTTTTCAAGATCGTTTTTTTTTAATATCTAAAAAAAACAGTCATCTCCATGTTTGATTCAACCCTTATTTGTTGAAATCCATCTTTTTAAGTTTTTCTCTTTCTATTTTTAACCCAGGTCGACCATGGCGGACGGTACGACGGCTTATGGGACTGCGTGTACAAGACCGTCAAAAACGGCGGCATCAGCGTGTTGTTCCGGGGCACCGTCATCACCGTCATTCGGGCGTTTCCGGTCAACGCCGTGACCTTCCTCGTGTACTCGCAGCTGTTGAAAGAGCTCAACGCTTTCAACCCTCCCAAGCGAATGAGGACAATCACGCCGGCAGAGTGACCCCTAAAGTGACCCACGATGACCCATTTCGACCCGACTGATTGTTGTTTTTGTTTTTTGTTTTTTCTCAGGGATTTTGTTCTAGTCTAAGTAGCAACAACAAATTGTCATTTATTTAATATCATGTTGTTTATACTTGAATAAATCTCATATGTCATTTATGAATGTAATAATATAATGTGTAATTTATAAATTAATAAATACCACATATTTGTTTATGTATTAAGTATAAAAGTTTTCTATTTAGGGCAGTAATGGCCAAACTGTCGAAGTTAAGATTTTGGCCAGCAAAGTCCAAAATGTCGAAGTTAAGATTTTGGCCAGCATAGTCTAAATTGTCGAAGTTAAGATTTTGGCCAGCAAAGTCCAAATTGTCGAAGTTAAGATTTTGGCCAGCAAAGTCAAAATTGTCGAAGTTAAGATTTTGGCCAGCAAAGTTCTAAATTGTAGAAGTTAAGATTTTGGCCAGCAAAGTTCTAAATTGTAGAAGTTAAGATTTTGGGCAGCAAAGTCTAAATTGCCGAAGTTAAGATTTTGTCAAGCAAAGTCTAAATTGTCTAGATTAAGATTATGGCCAGCAAAATCCAAATTGTTGAGGTTAAGATTTTGGCAAGCAAAGTCTAAATTGCCGAAGTTAAGTGATTTTCCGTCTAAGTTATTAGGAGTTCTAGAATGACATACTACGCTGCAAGTCTAAGGATGCTCCTACAACTAGTACAGACTCTACAGTTGAACTGCATCCTAGAATAAAAAAAATAGCTAGCCCTGATCCTTGTCGTGAAACTTACCTTACCGTAACCAGAAGAGTGAAGTATCGTTAACTTGTGACGTTAATTAGCTGGTGTGTCTAACTGATTAATTAATGGTCCGGCTGGCGGCAGTGTTATGCATATTAAATTAAAATATAATTTAGTTTGTAGAACTGACGGTCCTGGTGGTGAAGTAGAGTTCACCAGTTTATGTAACCTCGGCATATGAAGAGATAGTGTGGTCAGCGCTATGCCCAGCCGCCTTGACTTTCCCTAACGTGAGTTAAGTACGCATCAGAGCTGGAAGACACAGTGCCGTTCTACTGACACTAACCCGGGATTCGAACTCGAGACTTTCGGGGTAGCCGTCGTGTGCTCCGCCATCAGAGTTTCTTCCAGGCATCTCGAAGGAAGTCTCCCCCCCCCCCCCCCCCACAACAAAGTGGAATTTATATAGAAAATATATATACTTTTACCAGTGTCGTCGTCCCCCGTCTCCCATCCCCCTGGAGAAAAAAAAGTCTGAAAGAAACACTCTCCACCATCCGACCGCGCCATAACGACTAGCAGCAAGTGTTCATTTTTTAAAGATAAAAGATTAGGTAACAGGCCGAAATATTTCATTGAAAATTGTAAACTTTTTATTTTATTTTTTCGAAAGAGGAAAAATTGATGATAGTAGACTGGTTATAGGGCGTTGACAGTTTTAAATCCGGTCCTGCTTAAACTTTATAGGAAAAGAACGATTCATTACATGGATGCTCATTTTAAAAATCATCATTGGTATTTAGGTCAGGGTGTGAATCATCGAATCGAATGTGGGTAGGCATCGACCTAGTCATCAATAGTTGTTTGTTTTTTTTTAATATTCTTTCACTGCGCTTCTTTTCTATTGACCGCTGAGTCACGCGACAAGCGCGCGACACTGTGACATGCGCATTGCGCCATACGCGGCGGCTGTTACGGCGAGCGGGGTGAAAACAGACGAGGGCAGACAAAACCAAATGTCGGTGAGATGGGTGAGAACGCTGTGTCGCTGTATAAAAATATGGAAGAATTTTAAAAAAAATATTACGGCCTGTGGTTAATAAACAGCTTAAGGCAGAATGCTCGCGCAGGTGTTAGGCACTAGGGTATGCAAATGAATCCCGCGGTTAGGCATTCCTTACTCCCATACTGTCTATAAATAAAGTCATATTTCTAAGAAAGAGGGGAGGGGGGGTTCAAACTTTTGTGACGATGTCTGGGGTTCAGAAAAGATAGTCCAATTGTATCATTTTTAAAAAAGAAAAACAAGATTAAGCAGTTATTTCATTTTTTAGACATTGGTCCAATTCAGTTAATATTTTAGAAAGATAATGAAAGGGGGGGGGTGTAAAAAAGGGTGACGTCATTATGAACGAGACCTTAGAATTACTAGGCTAAAATTGGCTGTCTGAAAATTAATATACTCTTAAACTGGCCGTCTGAAAATTAATATAATCTTAAATTGGCTGTCTGAAAATTAATATTCTCTTAAATTGGCTGTCTGAAAATTAATATACCTCTTAGATTGGCCTTCTGAAAATTAATATTCTCTATGATTGGCCGTCTGAAAATTAATATTCTCTTAAATTGGCTGTCTGAAAATTAATATACTCTTAGTCTTAGATTGGCCGTCGGAAAATTAATATACTTTTAGATTGGCCGTCTGAAAATTAATATATTCTTAGATTGGCTGTCTAAAATTGAAGACAATCTAAAATTGACTGTCTATTGAGGAGGAAAGTAAGAAACAGGATTTTTAAAATGTTGAATTGCATCAGATGTAAATAGCGTAAACTTGTTTGAGAATGTTGGTTATTCTAAAAGGGATGGTATGGAGATCAAAGACTTCGCTCCGGGGAAGGGTAGAGATGGGGGTGCGAGAGGTGTATTTTCGATTTGATGGCGTCATTTTAGATTCAATACCACTTTGCATATTTCTTATTCTTATTATCAATCTTGGTGGTTTCGGGTAAGTATTTGCACCGTTTTGACTGACATTCGTACTCAGCTTCACATATTTTTATTGTCCAAAAAATAGTGGTCAGTACCAAAGTGGAGATCGGGCATAAAATCAATGACGCTTTCCGTAGCTAAGGTACCCTCATTGTTCACATCAATGCTCCACGAAGGCGTAGTTTTTTTTTTTTTTTTTTTTCTTGTTTGCTTCTACAATGGCAATTGAGCTTCCTGCTATAAAAATGTAGGCCTACAGTAGAAATTTTTTTCACATCCTAATTTTTTTTTTAAAGTAGTTTGGTTGAGTATACACCCCCCCCCCCTCCACACGCACACCTACGCGCACACAGAGAGGAGAGAGAGAGAGCAAAAACTTAGCTTTCATCTCAGTTTTCTTCGGTTGCCTCTCAGTACGATTATCTGGACACATTGGTGTCCGTAAAGAAATCACAGAGGTATCTCAGCAAGACTTGCTTTTATTTTATACGTGAAACAAGATACTCACGATAGTCAAATGATGATACTCACACATTCTGTTGATCACCCCAGTGGCGTAGGCAAGGGGGGGGGTGGTGGTTATAAACCCCTCCCATGGACTCACAGCCCTGTGAGTATATATGTATATATATATATATATATATATATATATATATATATATATATATATATATATATATATATATATATATATATATATATATATATATATATATGATTTTATACATATGGAAAAATATTTGAACCCCTCCCATGACCAATTCCTGGCTACGCCACTGGATCACCCACCTTCAAGCAAGTCAAAGGCGAATTTTCAAAATGAAATAAATTGTGAACACCAGCAACATTTTCTTCAGTATTTAAAAAAAAGTATGAATAAAAACATGTCAGAAATGGCTGTGAGTAAAGTTGACAAGCTGGGTGGGGGTACAGGTCACTTTCAGACATTTCTCTTCGGGGCAGTGTTTCTTCCAGACTTTTTTTCTCGAAGGGGGGGGGGGGGGGGGGCACTTGAAATTTTCGAGGGGGGATAGGTTAGGTTTGCCTGTCGTCCCTACTGGGACATAGGCCGCTGACAAGGAGGGGGGGGGCGGACTACAATTTTCGGGGGTGGGTGGGGGCGGCCACTGTTAAAAGTATATATTTTCTATATGAATTCCATTTCGTTCGTGGGGTGGGGGGGTGCTAGACTTTCTTTGAGGGGGGGGGGCAGAGCCCCCCGAAGAGATGCCTGGAAGAAAACTCTGCTTCGGGGGAGGGATATATCCGCACCCCCCTCCCCTGAAGAACGTCTACCCAGAGTTTCTTCCAGGCATCTCTTCGGGGGGAGGGGGATTCGCCCCCCCCCGAACGAAATGAAATTTATATAATTTATATAGAAAAATATATACTTTTAACAGTGTCCCCCCCCCCCCCCCGAAGGAAAGTCTACCGCCCCCCCGAAAATTTCAAGTGCCCCCCCCCCCCCCCCGGAGAAAAAAGTCTAGAAGAAACACTGCGTCTACCGCACGCCCCCTCCCTTCCTCCCTCCCCCGAAGAGATGTCTAAAAGAAACTCTGGGGGGGGGGGGCACTTGAAACTTTTGGGAGGGGGGGCGGACACTCAATATCAATATTACATATCTCAATGTAAATTTGTGGCAAGCTCATATTTGTTTTTTTTTTATTTCTAGGTCTTTATTATATGAAATGTCTTGATCAAAAATATTAGTCTTTCTATTCTTAGATGGATATAACTCTAATCCTAACCGTATAAGATAATTTTGCTCGTTATTATTTTTAATATTTTTTTTATTAGAGATCAAATTCGTTCCCAGTGGCGTAACTAGGTGGGGTGTCACATCCGGTGCGGTATTTTCTGATAAGGTGTTTCAAAATGTATTTAATTATAGCAGGAATCTAGTTACTATTCCAATTGCTCAATTCTTTATTTTGTCTTCAAAAGTTGTTTTTTTTTTTTTTTACAAAATGTAGGGGAGTCATCCGGTGTATTCTATAATTGAGACGATATCTAGATTCTAGATCTATTCGTCATCTAGAAGTTCTGAAGTAGGGGGGTCATCCGGTGTATTCTTAACCCCCCCGCCTCGTGTCGCAACAGTGCACAATTTCAGGAAATGTACCAAGGAAACGTTGACATTACTCATTAATTTAAGATTAATTACAATTAGGTGAGTTGATTGACTTGTGGTGACTTTG